CCTCCCAAGTAGCTGGGACCACAGGCGCCCGCCACAACGCCCGGCTATTTTTTGGTTGCATCCGTCATTGTTGTTTGGCGGGTCCGGGCTAGGGGATTCGAACCCGCCACCTTAGGTGTACGTGGCTGGCGCCTTAGCCAGTTGAGCTATAGGCACCAAGCCAAACAGTTTATTATTTTAAAGAGCTTTTTAAGCCAGCCCTGGTGGCTGATCCCTGTAATCACAGCACTCTGATCCCTTGTACCAGGAGTTCTAGATCAGTCTGAGCAACATAGTGAGACCCATCTCTACAAAAATTACAAAAATAACCCACCTGTAATCCCACCTACTCAGACCCTGAAGCAGGAGGTTGCTTTAGCCCAGGATTTGGAGGTTACATTGAGGTATAAGCATTCTAGCCCCAGCAACAGTGAAACTCTCTCAAAAACAAACAAAAACCTTAAAAGGTAGAGCCTAGTCAGAATTTTCATCTTCTTAGTTTCCTATAAATCTTTATTAAACAGTAACGAAGCCCCCAGTTGCCCTTATGTGAGACATATACAACCAGTTTTACTTAGGCCCTTTGTTGATAGAAGTATTCACACACATCTTGTGAAGTTTAAGTAATAATGTTCTTCTTAAAAGCATTTACAATATAGCAGTGGAAGTTCATTCAAGAGCAAAACAACTTTATCAAGTTAGAAAGGTCCTTGTTCTTCATCCCTAAATCTCACTCAATTTGGTTAAGGGGACAAGCAAGCTAAGAGATCACTATGTTGGGGTTGGAATGGAGAGAGATGATGTCTTCAGGATCTTCGTAATTGGCTGTGAGTGTAGAAAGGCTGAACATAAGTCATAGAATAACCCCCCCCCCAAAAAAGATGGTGACTTTACATCTTTTGTATTAACCTGGATGGAGTTGAAGCACGTTCTTAGTAAAGTATCTTAAGAATGGAAAAGCATTTATCTAATCTTCTGAGTAGACAATCTAATACATGCCCACATAGGAGTAAAATTTAATTCAAGTTGGAGGAGGGGGAGAAAAAAGGGTGGCATTGGTGTGCTCCCACTTAATGGGCACGATGTGGGGGGTGGGGAGAAAGAAATGAACCCTGGTTTGGAAATGCATTCACTTCTTCCTGCCTGGCTGGTCTCCAGGGCTGCCATTTGACACTATTAAGCTAGGTTTATAGGTCAATTTGAACATGTATTTTCCTCTACTCCTGCATAGGCTCCCTAGAGAAGTGGTCTATGGGGAAAATAATCCTCCCTGTCTACAGGTGGATCTGTGACTATCCCGGCACTTAATGTCCACCATCAGATGTGGAACTCATATGGTCAGAAACTAAACTGAGACCAGACAGACACATAATCAGCATGTGTGAGCTTTATGATCAGTCTTACCAAGGAAATAAACCATGCGAAATGAAACAATTTCTTGTTTGTGCTGGAGAACTCAAGAATGATCCTACCTTCTCATGATTCTGAGACAGTATCCTTTTAATAGAAAGGGGGAAAGCTGAAGCTTTTAGAAATACATTCATTTTTGGAAATCTGTGCCATTTTAGGCAGCCACTTTTGTAGCCAGAATTATAATCTACATATAATTTTATGCCCCATATTTTAAACTTAATATCACATCATAATCATTTTCTCATGCTGTTACAATGTATTCTGGGAGAACTTCTTTCTCTGTTGAAAGATTCATCTTGGCTCGGCGCCTATAGCTCA